TAGTTCAATAAAAGTACGAATTCTGTCACGGATTCTGTTACAGATTGTCGACGTATTAGCAAGAAATAACAATAAATTTTGCAATATGCAATGATTATAAATAAACAAATCATCCTTGGATAAAATAAATGATTAACATTTGACTATCACAATTGTATAACTCCACTTGACTTTGATTATAGCTCGGCATTTAATTATCGTTTCCTTTTCAGCCGGAAGATTGCTCATTTCAAACTGACCTATACTAATTATTAGAGAAACAGTGGGAAGATATTTTGCTCAAGAAATAAATGTTATTTTACAAACTACAGTATAATAGTAAACTTGACTTTTCGATTTTTACGATATGAATAACACAGCAATAAATTGCTCCAGGTATCTTAAAACTAGAATGACGTGGGTTGGTTGTATACCTATTTTGCCTGATTGAGAGTCAATTTCGGTAAGAGATTAGGGAGGAATAGAAATTAATTTTTGTATACTATTCATTCATTGTACTCTGAAAAACGTAAAAAAATATTTTTAAAAAAATGATTTGAAATTGTTATGTTTATCACATAAAAATGCAAATGAGTCAAATGACTTGCTCCGTCATTCTAGTGTTAAACCCGAAAGGATCATATGCTATCATTTTTGTCATCAAGATGAATAATAGAAAGCATAATGCCTAGTTATTACAAAGAAGCGATGTAATTTACGCAATTGTAAAATTATAAATACGGATGCTTTATAAGAGGAAATTGTAGATACTCAATTTTAATTTCTGGTGTACCTATCCTAGTTAAACTTAAATATTTGATAACACATTATAGTATTAAGTTGGCAACTAAGTGCAAGCAAGTACTTTTTATGAGCTTATGGTTTGATTTCTCATCTTTCAACGAACGCCAAACGAAACCTACGCAATCGATCAAACAACTCTTTTTACTAATTGACATCTAAGGGGGCGTCTATTAATCACGTGATAGATTTTCTAGGGATTTTTGGACCCACGCTCCACCTTGGTGATACGTCGTGATATTTAAAATTACCTCCCCTCCCCCAAAAAGCATTACGTGTATTTTTAGTTACGTAAAATTTTTCGAATAAATTTTTCGAATTTACGAAAAAAAAACGTGAAATTTGTTTTTTTTTTAAATTTAGGTAAAAAATAAATACACGTAATATCTTACGAGACTCCTCCCTCCCCCAAGTGATTTTTCGTGATTTTTTGTTAAACACCCCCTCCCCCAAAAACCCTCACCCCCTAAACTGTCTACTAGCCATGAACAAAATATATTGTCGGGCTAAGTCAGCAAACCTAAAAATTCAATTGAAACCATCTAGGGCTAAGATGAAAACCGCACTTACTTAGTTGCCAACCTAATCTATTATGATAAAATGGCGGATTTCCTGGACGTTGTTTGGAATTCCTAATCATTTAGTCTTAATGATGCAATATTGTAATCTCATATACAACTGCAAAAACTTGTCTTAAACGCAAAACTGCTGGCCAAACAATCTTATTTAAAAAAAACTAATAATAATCTGGTTATTCACTGGATGTTTGTGTATTCTGACCACATACTGAATGTGATCAATAGTGTAATGAGCATTCGACCGCGACTATTCAAAATTAGTAGGGCGGAAAACAGAGCAGATTAAACGACTCCGTTGAATGGATAATTATTGATTCATGTAGAAATTTTATAAATTAATAAATTCAAAGAAGGTGCAGTATTTATAAATTTCGTATATATACGCTTTATGACTATAAATAAAATATTAATTATAATATATGTGAAATAAATATATAAAGTGCAAATATTTTATACTAAAAATAAGTTCACCAAGTGCATACAGTCAAACCACCACGCTATAAAAAAACTCGAGATTAAAACAAACCACATCCTTTGTGGCCCTTTATATAGAGGACAATACTTTAGTTAATAACTAACGAAGTATATTTGAATTCTGCGAACGCAAGTGTTGATACAATTAGTATTTTGGCAACAATTTTATAACTGTTACCTATTTGGAACAATGTAGTAAGCTGTACTGTTACATTCGATCCTATATAGCATTCATTTGTCGGCGAATCTTCAATTATACTTCAATCGTGAATGACAATGATTGCAATCCATAATAGCAGCAGATTATTATTTATCTAAAGTATGTACTTATTTTTTCTTTTAAACCAGACAGATTGCAACAATTTATCATTACTGTATTGGATAGTTTCAATTTATTCTCAATATACCATGCATTTCCCATACACAACATCGATTAGATAAGCCATTATACCATTCAAAATATTCGAGTGATGCAGAGTATTAAATCCAAACAGACTACTTAATTGCTTCTATATACAAT